TGGCCGCGGACCACGTGTCAGGGGTGGGAAAATGGCCACGGACCACGTGTCAGGGGTGGGAAAATGGCCACGGACCACGTGTCAGGGGCGGAAAATAGCTGCGGACTGTGTCACGGGAGGGAAAATGGCCGCGTATCCTGTTCGTACCCCGAGGCGGAGTTCGCAAACCGAGATAAATTTTTGCGGCCAGAGCTGGTCATAACCTGAAAGGTTCGTTAACAGAGGCGTTCGTAACCCGAGGTACCACTGTGTGTGTGTGTATGTATGTATGTAGGTATGTATGTATGTATGTATGTGTGTATATATATATTATTATTATTATTATTATTATTATTATTATTATTTCTGGTAGCTCTTAATGGAGTTTTGCTGAATAGAACTGAATGATGAGTGTTTACAATTTGTTTATTGATAAGAGATGAGTAATGGGAAGAAGAGATCCATTTTTTATTATTGAAATAGTAGAGAGGTGTTAAGTTATGGGAGTTGTTTATACTTGTCTGGAGGGAGGAAGGAGTCACTTTTATATTTCTTTTTTCTTTTTCCTTTCTTTTCTATCTCTCTGCATTTTTCCTTTTCCTCTTATTTCTCTTAGTATTAATCTTTTATCTTTGTATTTGTAAACTTTAATAAAATTATTACAAAAAAAAGAGGCTCCTGTAGTTCTTTGTGGTCATGCAGGAAACAAAGCAAGCTTATTTGAAGAAGGATATCTTCAAGTACTAACTGACAACACATATATTGATCCATGAACATGCTAGCTGTAAGAAATACAGAAGCTGTCTGAACTATAACTTCTTCATCCATTTGTACATTCTTGATAAATACTAGCCCAATAAATCTGGTAGTCAAGGTTAATTTATGAAACTTATTTCTAACCCCTTTAAATGTTTTCTAGTGTTATAGGCTAATATAGGTTAATCAAATACAAGGTGTTAGATAGAGTGAACCAGCATTTTAGAGTGATTCAAAGATCCATCATGTCTCATCTAGTTACCATCAGTTGGGGAAAAAATCCTACAGTACTGCTCCCAGCTACAGCATTTCAGTAAGTATATACATCTGAGTGTATATCTTTAACATGTGTGAGTACCTTTATCATCTTGAAAGAATGACCAGATAGTATTTGACCTGCCCAGCACGTAATGGCATAATGTTATTTACAGGATTAACGGATGGTCCTAAATTAGAACCAACTGTTTACTATTTGGATTTTGTTGTAATTTCTTTTGAAGAACAAAATATATTTTTGAAAAACAAAATAATGTTTGCTCATCTTTCCCTTTGAATAAGGTTAGTCTGATATTGAGAAACATATTTTTAAACTCTTCTTGCTGAACACAATGTTTACTTACCTCCAATCAGCATTGTGCAAATGGAGAAAATCTTTTCAGCATCGGTATTGGCTGAAACATTGCCAAACCCAACACTGGTGAGGCTGCTAAGTGTAAAATACAGGGCAGCGATATAGGCACTTCTGAGTGATGGGCCTCCTGATGTATTATTGCCAAAATATGGAGACTCCAAACGTTTTCCTAGTTCATGAAGCCAACCTAGAGAAAAGGAAGCAGAATTATCATAGTATGTAAGAGAGAAAATCTTGTTTAATGAATTTTTAAAAAATGATTTAACCCCATTTCCACTTCCAGATTGATATATGAGTTAGAAGATGGTTGTCTCTCAGATTACGCACTTTAAATTTAGTGATACAAATCTCAGCTCAGAATTGTTGGCAAAATACTTACATTAAAACCTGATGAGTCAAGGAAACTCACATGCTAAACTGTGTGGATCTGGAAAGATTACATAAGAAAGTAACTGTGATGTATATGCATTAGTGTGCTTTAAATTATGGAATGAGAAGAAAATGAAATGGAATACATATGAAATTCATGTGATTTGGAAAAATTGTTGGTTGTAAGTATAACTTTAAAATAAATTGAGAAGGCAGGATTTTCAAGATATCTAACCAACCACTTGCAATATGACAAAACTACTGAAAAGGAGGTATATAAAATATACCTCCATCCATGAGATGCCAAAAAATTTGAAAAATCTGCTATATCAAGTCGATGAGCCATTTAGAATTGTTAATGGGATAAACATCTAATATTTTTCTATCTTCTGTCAAACCCAAACTCAAAATCTATTCCTGTGGTAAAGTGTTTGCCATCTTAAGCTTGTGTGGAGAAGAATTATGAAATGCTAGACTATTGAGATAATACAATAAACAATATTATTTCAGGTGGAAGGAAGGAAGGAAGGAAGGAAGGAAGGAAGGAAGGAAGGAAGGAAGGAAGGAAGGGAGGGAGGCAGGCAGGCAGGCAGGCAGGCAGGCAGGCCATAATGAAAAGAGCTAGGTTAGATCTTTTTACCCTATTATACTAGCTTTAGTTTTATTTTCTTTACCCATAGAGGCACTGAAAAGTAGAATCTACTAGAATCTTGCATCCTTCTACTTCATTGCTACCAGATGTTTAACATCTGTAATCACAAACACTTCTTCACTCCAAATAGCACACATACTGAAAAATAAGAAATATACTATTCCACATTATATCTTCTGTTCTAGGTAATATGCTCTTCTTTGGACTTCACTATAAAAGAAAAGCACTATAGAGAGATGGAATTGGGATGGATAGAAATTAAATCCAAAATGAGCAAAAAAGAAGTTTCTTTGTACAGTGGGTGGTAATCAAACTGAGTGTGGTTACAGCTCAACAATCATTCTGGTTATTTTCTGGTGTACAGGCAGATGGAAATGAAATGTAGATTCATCTCAAGCATGTGACTTTCAGGGATCAGCTAAGCTACATAATGGATTGCATTTAACACAGATTCAACCCAGTGTACTTGCTCAAAAGGTTTAAAGGGCAATTAGCTCTTACATTTCAAGCATATGTTGAAAAAGTATCAGAGCCAGAGCAATCACAATTAGACAGAAAGCTCTTACGATGACATCAAAAGACCCATTTTAATCATTGTTACAAATTCAGCAACACTGGATGAACTACAATATTCTGTAGAGTTGTCACATGAAGGTAGGGGAAGCTCCCCAACTAGACTCTGTATACTTATGCAAACAGAGAAATCAGCATTATATATTCAGCATTTGAGTCTAAAAGTTAGCCTTTCTATATATTAAATTGGCTAAATAACTTTTTAAAAAATCTGCTATTTGACCAAAGAAAGACACAGGGAAAAATATTAGCATGATATTCAGTTCATAAAATGAATTGAATGTGAAAGTCATAAAGAACAATTTGATTCTCTTGAGCAGTTCCTTTTGTGTTTTGAAGTCCTAGATTCTGAATACTTACATTGGAAGCATAATATTCTGACCTATTTAGAACAAATCTTTCTGAGCTTTTCCTGCCTGGGCATTCTACTTTTGACTGGATATAAAGATTGAATATGCTAATGCCTGAACATACTGTCAGACAGAAAAACTGAAACTCTTAGAATCCAGAAGCCTGTCCTTTTAGAATTATTTTGCACGGCATGGCAAAACTATTAAACTTCCTACAATCTTTCTTTCAAAGTAGCGGATTTCATAGATTTGAAACATCAGCCATGTATTTGTGATAAACTGTTATGTGAATTTTTTTAACTGGCTAGACAGGATTGTAAATAACCAGTTTATACAGCTGTGTAGTCTTGAGTCATCTTTCTAACAAAATACGGGTATTGTACTGATAGATAGTGCCACATAATACCTCTGGAAGTCAACTGTGTAGAGTCAGCATTCATATCTCCTTGGAATATCTTTGTCTTGCTTCCCCTCTACAGTTCACGCTTTTTGAAAGCTCATAACTAACTGCATTTGATGGTTTGATCAAGTGTGAAATACTCTAAGTACTAAGAAAGTACATGCATGAAGTAGAGAATGCTGAATCCTAACCTTGAGGTAACCCACTCTTGGAGCAACACAGGGCATGCACAGCCCTAACAAGGACAATGGAAAGCATCAAGATGATTAAAAAATTCAAGAAAGCTAAGTGAAGTCCCATAAAAATCATACAGGGAAATGAGATATCATTGGATCACAAGGAGCTTCTGGACTCACATGGCTGTGCAGTTAAATAAGTTCCTGCACTAATTAGTACATCACTTGCTTTGCACTAGCCTTCTGTGTTTTCATGGAAAGGTTCTTAAATGAGATAGTTAGATAATCCCCCAATGAGTTCATGAAAAAATGCATTGAAAAAATCAGAGCATATATTTGATACCTATCTGCTGCATTCTGGAGTGACTTTGGGCTCTTCCTCATGGCTGAGGTAAAATGCTATCTGCCATGAGCCAGCAGAAAGTGATGTTATTAGAAAATGCACTGCCCCCACTGAAAATCCCTATTTTGCCACAGCTATCATGCAGGCAAATGGTGCTGTCTTTATTTATAGAGCACATTAAGGACAGGGATCACTGGATTCCCCCAGCTCTCTTTTCCTCCTTTCCCACCAAAGTCTCCAGTCAGCAGGAAAACCCCTATCAGTCACTATCCTTAATGTGGCCTGGGGGAGGAGATGAGTTTTGACAGTGGGACACACTGATGGGTCAGTTGGTTGGTTGGTTGGTTTTTAAATCTGTCATATGTCTAAACTTATTCTGATCAGGGGAGATGCCTATCAGAAGGATCCTATTAACTGGCAGTTAGGCTTGTTTTGAATATAGGTTTACTGCCACTCTAGAAGAGTACTAAACGAGTGTTCAAAAGCACCCTGAACAACAGCTGATGTATATGAAAAGCCCCCATACCGGTACTATTTACCTTTTACTATTTGGCTGATCCTAGACTCTGAGCCTGGAGTACTGGTTGAAATAACTGGAATAGCCTTGGAGAGTCCCGATCCACAGGGATGGAGGAAAAGGTGCTTGTTGGCAGCAATCTAAAACAGTCTAAGGAGCTTGGCTTATCCCAATCCATAGCAGCCAACTGATCATGTGAAGAACACAGTGGCTAGTGAAATGTGCCCGATTATATCCATGGCAAAAGACATGTTTTGGTAAGAAGAAAACAATTCTTTAAAACTGAAACAGTTAAGCAGTATTCAAGGCTGCCTCTGAAATGGACTGGGGACCAGTTGAACATGACGAGATGAGAACACTTTTGAATAAAGTATATATACTGTAGTTCTGATTCTTATTCACAGCAATACTGCCTGTTCAAAAGATGGTGAATTGTTAAAGAGGATGGAAGAAGAATGGAAAGACTGCAGCTGGGTCACCATCCAGAAATGACATCACTATTGTCCATGATGAAAAATGACATCACTGGTGCCATGATCCATGACACTATCCATCACCATCATGAAACATGTCTCCCAAATAGTTTCATTCTCTCAGACATGTTTGCAGCGCAATAGGGCTTCATTTTACTGAGCTGGCTTTATTATTATCATTATTATTTTTAGAGGGTGGTGGTAGTGATGGTGGCAGTGTGTGTAAAGTCTATTCAGTTCTGTTTTTTATGTTTTTTCTTGTGCACCTTTAATCTTTGGGTCCCCTCCAAGCATGCCTAACATTTCTCCCTTTTTTCCCACTGGCCCTATTTTGCACTTACTCCCTACCCGAGTTTTCTATTGGAGGGGTGATTATCCAGGAGGGAGAACTGCTAGAGTTATTTAAGGCAGAAGATATATCCACTGTGTATAATTCTAAGTCATTTAATTAAGTAGCTGAACATATCTGGGAGAATGAAGAAATTTAATAGTGTTGCCCCTGAAGCCAAGGTAACAAAATGATATTAAAACATATTGAAAAGTTAATAAAATAAAAAGCTTTCCTACCCTTTCACAGAAAACAATAATGGATGGTTAGTTATTTTTTCTGGCTGGAACTTGCACTTTTGTTGGATCCAGTCATATGTTGACACTATTGAAGAGTGCAATTGAATACATTCAGCCTTTTCCTTCTTTCTTGTGGTAAGAGGAGATTGGTTAAAGGTGCAAGATAGTACTTCAAGTCCTACAGAGATTTGGCCACTAAATTTCTGGAAGTGACTAAGGAGGGTCCAAAATGGACACCTGTGATGGAAAGGATTCCATAATGCACTGTGATTTTGTGCCGATTTACTTGGAGATAAGTCTCACTGTGTTCAGTGAAGCTTACTCTCTAGTATGCATGTTTAAGACTGTATTAGTCCCCAAGTACATTTCTTTGAGTTATATCAAATAAACATTAGTTACATTTAAGCTGTTTGAAAGCTAAGATTCAAAATCACTTTAAGTATGTCTGTGATTGTGTCTCAATTAAGCCTTGAAAAACATATTACACTTCATTTATTTAAAATTTATCTTGCCATTCATCAGAAAAGATTCCCACAGTGATTTAAAAATAAGTCCCTTCCTTACACTTACACTCCGAAAGGCAAAACTAAACAAAAACTGGATACTGTTCACTATCAGAGATTCCTTTCTATGATAGATGAAGGTTCAGTAGACAGTTTGGGACCAGAATAAGAATAGCAACTACCTAGCTTAAACTTGCTTCTGACATCACAATACTATATTTTCCCTGGATTTTATTCCAACCTGCAGCATTCATGCTGTCACAG